ATGTCTTATTTCAAGCTAGTATGACATTTAAAGAGCCTGTGACATTTAATACATTCATTGACAAGACTAAGACAAGCTTTGAAACGTTTTGTGATGCTACTTCTAAAACTGGTTCAGTTCAATATACGTTTCCAAAGGAAAGCTACGTTTCATTCCTGTTATCTGTTAATGTACGTCCAAAAGTTCAGACAGAGTTTCTTAAATCAGAATGCTCGGTTTTCATCCATAGAATAAAAGTAGACAGTGTTACAACTCCTGATATAAAGGAGATAGGCAATACAGTCAGTGGCATCGGTAACCGTTTGTGGAACAACATGAAAGGAAAAGATTTCACAACTATGGTTACTATTGGTATCATGGAGGCTTTGGTAGGTAAGCTGCAGCCAAACAGTAATATAATGCAAGGTAATGATAAATGGGTTTGCCTTGATGGTTTTGGTGAGTTTAAAGAATTCTTGAAAAATAAAGGTGATGCCCAAGGATATTGGGCATACAAGAAACAAAATTTTTTGCCATTCATAAGCTTCTTCCAGAACGGAATTGAAAAGGCCATCACTAATTTTAAATCTGAAAGAGTGAAATCTGATGATCCTTACACTGTCACAATGTCAGATGTGTCTGGGAGTGGGAAATTTGAAAGCTTCAACGTCGTTTTACACTCACCGCTGACTTTCCTGAAACTGAGGCGTATGTTCGGCGTTGACGAAGATTACTATTTAAAATTTTTCTGCCAAGACACGTTAATAGAACTCTCAAACCCAGGAAAGAGTGGAGCCGGCTTGTATGTATCACGTGATGCAAAGTTTATGGCTAAAACTTTAAAGTCATCAGAAGTAACTACTTTTGAACATTTACTGCAGCCGTTTTTAAAGCATATGGGAGAGAACCCATCCACCCTGCTTACAAAATTCTTTGGTCTCTATACATATGTGCCAGCGTCCTTTCTAAAACAGCTTTTGAGACGTAATTTAAATATGGTAGTGATGAACAACATTATGCCTTCAGATCTTGAGATCATCAGTCAGAAATATGACCTGAAAGGATCTAGATACAAGAGAGAAGCGTCCGAAGATGAAAAGAAGAAGATTAACACGTCCCCAACTTACAAAGAAAATGACTTTCTTGTTCAGCATTCTCACGGGATATATTTAAAAGCTAAAGACTATGACAGACTTGTAAACGCTATCACCTCCGATGCTAAGATTTTGAATGAGTTAAACATTGTTGATTACAGTTTACTGTTGGGTATTGTTTATGAAGGTAGAGTATTAAATAAAGAAGAAAGGGAAAGAGCTACTGGTGAAGTTACCAGTATACCTTGTGAAAGTAAAGACGACGTAAAAACTACATCTGTTTCTAAACTTGGAGGAAATAATCAGCCGAACAGTATACCTGCGTTAACTGTTCATGGCGAAAGAGTGATGCTTCATTTAGGAATTATAGACATATTACAGGAATATGTATTAAAAAAGAAAGCGGAGACTGTAGTAAAAAACGCTATCGGAGAAGAAGATTTTTCTGTAGTTGATCCTAACACCTACTCGACAAGATTTATAAACTTCATGCGAAATGAGGTATTTAAAAAGATGCGTCCTTGCGTAAAGGGTAAAACATTGGGAGATTTTCTCGATGAAAAAACTAATCCAAGTAAAACACTGGGAGATTTATTTCTCAAGGAAAAACCTAATCGAATTAAAACACTGGGAGATATTCTCAAGGAAAAAGCCTAAAATACAGCTGAAACAGGCGCATTAAACATTTTTTAAATTATTAAAAAATGAATATTTAAAACTATTTTGTTCTAATTCTTTGCCCGTTCAAGGCATTTTGTTAAGTGTTTATAGTTTTTTTTTGTACAAAGGCCTTATTGTAAGTGCAATCAAGAAAGAATAAATAATGTTTTAATGTTGATTATCTTCCACATCATATATATATATATATATATAATAAACTAGCTGACCCGGCGAACTTCGTATCGCCTAAGTTATAGGTTTCCCCTAAGACAGACCGATGGAAAGAAAGTACCGTTACGTTTAATTTTCAAGATGATCTCGTTCGCATCGCTCAATCACGTCCTGGTTGAAGTTCGTTCGCTACGCTCACTCACCTTTGGGTTGGAGCTCGTTCGCTACGCTCACTCACCTTTAGGTTGGAGCTCGTTCGCTGCGCTCACTTGCCTTCAGGTTAGCTCGTTCGCTACGCTCACTCGCCTCCAGGTTGAAGTTCGTTCGCTACGCTCACTCACCTTTTGGTTGCAAATTAGCTGTTGTCATAAATGTAAAAGAAATAATAGTGCTGCACCCTGTTGGTAATCCTTGTAACTTTAATGCTATTGAACATCATAGAACAGAACCAACTTGTTTAATTGAAACAGCTGTTAAGATTCATTAATTCCATTTCTCATAAGGTTAACATGGGAAACTCCAGAGCCACTGGGGCGGAGCCCTTTTAAGAATTTCGAAACGGGAAATAGTTTACGTCCGATTCGCATACCTACAGAATTTACACACCAAATTTCATAACGATCGGTGAAGTCGTTCCGGAGGAGTTTGCAGACAAACACTGTGACACGAGAATTTTATATATTAGATATGTAAAAGAAACTTGTAGAAATGGAAGACATTCCATAGATTTATGTTTATGTAAACATGTTAACTTTGAGTGGTTCAGTGGATGCAATCTGCTCACAACTTTGTTATTGTTTTAGATTGTTGGTATTGACTTAAGCTTTTATATTGTATGCACTGCTACAAAATCGTTGTAAAGTCAATGAGACATTTTACAGGGTGTCCAATCATAAGTGTTAAATAAAATTATTTGTCAAACTACATCAATTAATATATTTTAATCCTTTTAAATCTCATACGGATTATTTAATGTACTGGTATTTAGCTCAATTCCAACATAGAGTGACTTAAAAGTATGCACTAATTGTAATATTGAACTGAGATTACCACTTGAAGGTCAGTGGGTTATGTAGAACTAGAGTTTAGTACCCTGCATTGCTTAAAAAAACCTTTTAACTGTGGCCAATGGTTTTAAAAGGAATATTTGAGTAATTCCTACATTATTTTTCAATAACTTAACCGTTAAGATGGTGTTCTGTACTCTTAATTTATAACGACAATCTCCAGATATCTCCTTTCTATATTTGTCATGTTTTTTAGGTTAAAATTGTCTTTTTGCAACCACAGAAAAATAAAGTGGTTTAAATACCTGCATAAAAGTTATCCAAAATGTTGCTCACGGCAACCGGTTTCAATCCACAATAGGGATCTTCATCAGGCCGATCAGGATGTCAAAACATTTTTTCTCTTCTTGCGAAGGTCGTCAAAAGGCGTAAAAAACATGCACACATTGCTTTTTACGCCTTTTGACGACCTTTGCAAGAAGAGAAAAAATGTTTTGACATCCTGATCGGCCTGATGAAGATCCCTATTGTGGATTGAAACCGGTTGCCGTGAGCAACATTTTGGATAACTTTTATGCAGGTATTTAAACCACTTTATTGAAATATTGGTTATCCGGAGGCTAAATCACAATGATCACAGAAAAATGTCTTTTTGTCAATTATATTCTTGAGTGTGGCAGATTGCGTGAAAATATAATAATAATATCTATGGTTCTTACCGTCAACGCAATCAGGGGTAATATTCCACTACGGCCGTTTCGGAGAAAACATTTAGAGCGTGTGCACGGCTTGAAAACTGATGACCGACTTATGAGTCGGTCGTCAGTTTTCAAGCCGTGCACGCGCTCTAAATGTTTTCGTTTTGTGTTTTTGTGTGTCCGTCCTGTACATATATGTGTATTATTTATTCAACCCTTGACGCAATGCAAATGAAGAAAACTCGTGTTAAATGTGACAAGACTATAGTTTAGTGTACCACTACGCACCTGACGATGGAGTCATCTCCGAAACGGCCGTAGTGGAATATTACCCCTGATTGCGTTGACGGTAAGAACCATAGATATTATTATTATTTTTGTCAATTGATTAAACAACATTTCATTGGGAACTTTACACTGAATATACCTTACAGTGTATCGTATTGTACACTTTTAACGGACAAATCTTAATAGAGTTATCTGATTAAAACATAGGGAATTTGCCAGTAGTTAAGGAAATTAACAGGAAAGCAGGCTTATTAATATCCTTAATAAATACATCTTAATAGAGTGTGTGATTTAAAATATACCATTACAAATTTTTAATAGACTTAACAGTATGTGACACACCCTGACATTAGAATCTATGTTCAGTTAGTTTTGTGTAGATATGCTGTAGGCAAAAAATAAACAAACGGTATCAGCAATCTGACACATACTTTCTCCCATTAGATTGTCACCTTTATCATGGGTAAGCAGTGGAAGTAACCACGATATTTTATAGGGAAAATCACCAATGTTTCAATAACTTTTGAACCATACTTTTTACAGCAGTGGTGGTTGCACGATTTTGTTTAGATACATAAGGATCATAATATGTGATGTTGAAGGGCTGTCAATAGAAGGGGATGAAAGGAGGTGAGGACAGGAGAGGAGTATTGTAGAAAACTGGAAACCAGGTTCTCTGATCATTCTCATGACCCTATTTAATTGGTCCTAAATCTCACGAAAGCGAGCCAATTAGGCATAATTTATTTTTAAACACAGTACCCCAAGATCAAGCTGTATTAAACAGAAGCACTGGTCTCTCCATGGAGGAAAAAAATCAATTGGAACTATTTGTCATCGTTCTTAATTTGGCTTAATGAGAGGTGCACAAAAGATTTAGCCGTACAAACAAATAATTCATTCAACAAATAGGTACAGTAAAGGTGTAATTTGCAGGTTAGTTTCCATATCTGGTGAGCTTTAACACCTAGTTGAGCTTTGTATATCAGCTAAAGCTCATGTGCGTTTATTTCTTTGTTGGGTTGATGTGCTTAACGGAGTATTTAAAAAAGAAACCACAAATGTTCAGCTATACATGGGCAAAAACAAGACAAAGTAGTACAAAACATGAAAAAATATTTTAATGGGTTACAAGAAAAACGTATGGACAAATGCATAATATTGTAGAGTATAGTTTACATGCAAAATAAATTAGCTCGCTAACAAACTTTTAAGATAAAACAAGAACACCAAAAAGGACACAAAGCGCGGATGAAGAAATGCCAAGACAGTAACAAACTTTCTTTGAGGAATGAGTTAATGAAAAATATACAAAATACTTTTAACTGGAACAATACAATTGGAAAAATGGTAACTTTTTAAGTCAGTCTAATGTTTACATTCGTTCAAACTTGTATATCTGCAGAAAAATAAAATACATTATCTGGTAAAATACAGGTACTCATTTTAGGTATTGTAATGTTATTTAGGTAAGGAAAACTTAATGTAATATTTTGATATTGGGATCTAATATTTATGTTATAAAATGATCAAAAGTAGTTCTCACAATGCTAATTCTGGAGAAAACACAGAAATTGATTTCCTTAATTAAAATAGGCTACACAAAATTTTGTAATAAATAATATTCTAGGTTTAGGTTGAGAACGTTGTAAAGTTAATTTGCACTGAAATAATGATTAAATTGATCTTTGAAAAATACTTGAGAGTACCGGGAATGTTTAGTTTCGAGGCACTAATAGTAAATGTTTACGCACAATTTCTCTGAAACGTCTCAACACCATTGCAACTGAGCGTTGACTGCCTCAGGTGAATCAATTTTTCTGAATATATGTTCTCTGTAAAACTTGAGTTCATCGATGCTCATTCTGATATCTGCTAAGGCTCGATGTTTTGCTATCTCCTTCTTGTTGGGTTGCTGATTATATATTCCAGGGTACCATCGGCTAGAACAGACAAAAAATTATTGGTGCTGGTAAACTAATCTTAACTTAAGGCCCACTAGATCGCAGCCACTAGATCTGTAAAATAGCATTGAAGGCAGGCCATCGGTGGCAGCGACCTAGTCACCAAAGAACTACGACGCAAGTTGATAGCTGCCACCGTGCTTTTTCAGTGACCCAACTCGTAGCGGGTCATTGTAATATACCAAGCCCTTCACATTAGGTGGCTGCGACCTAGTTCTCGGGGATTTGTTGTCTGACTGCCTTTCCTATACACCCCTCGGTCACTGATGTCCATTTGTTACAACCTACACACAAACCTGTGATACTTACTCGGTTCGTGGCTGTTTGTTTTGAGTTATAACATTATCTAGATTGTTTTGATTTTTTTTTTTCTTTTGTCCTAAGGACGCTAGGCACGAGCCTGGGATTGTTTTCCACATTACTTCAGGCTAGACCTAGGGGTTGCGGCATTATCACTTAGATAAAATCCATTGGTGACTTGGCGGGGATCGAACCCGGGACCTCAGGGACTGAAGTCCCGCGCTCTAACCACTACGCCAGCTCGCTCCCCGATTGTTTTGATTGGCTTATGTTTAATTGCTTGTTAACGATATGGATGAATAGGGCAATACAATTCAGGATAATTCAAGGGAAGTTTTTTATTAGCAGCATGTAGGCTTAGTGAATCAGAATCTGTTGGTAAACCAAAGAAGAAAGAAAACGTCCCCAAAGAGGAAATAGGAAATAAATTTGATTCCATCTTGGCTACTTTTTAGCGAGAAGGTTGCAGCTACTTGGTGGCAGTCACCATGTGTGAATTGACAAGCAAGGCTACGAGTTGTACAAGGCAGTGGATGCCATCCAGTGGCTGCCACCCTAGTGGGAAAACGGCCTAATACCTATCTCCTGGACTGAATAGGCTGAAATTTTACATAAAAGTTGATCTTGAAATCGGACTTGCCTAGACCAATTATATGTGTTTAAAATCTCCCTAGCCTCACCCTCGAGAAGGTTTGATGCAAATAGATGTATGCATATAAAAAATTGAAAAATGGTACAATCTCTTTATAACAAATGCTGTTTTTGGGTGCAGAAAATATCAAAACAAAAACGTAAATCGGTCCCGGGACCACCTAAGGTATATAGTTTGTTCCCTAATGGGTAATTTACTAATATTTCCTAACTGAAAAACTCGCTCAAAGCCATAATGTATAGAACTACTTTGTATGCTCGCCATTTCATTGAAAAGTATAAAGTAAAAAAAAAGCATCAGACTCTACTTAAATTTTTTTTTACATTCGGTTGATAATCGTTTTACTCTGCCATAAAACTGATTGAACTATGCTGAAGAATATTTCCAATAATTAATTGGTACAATTTAGTTAGTTTCTGTAATCAGGTCTGTAGGTATCTTCTTCCTATTCCTGTTGTAGGCACAGAGTGTTTGCAGCATTGATTTTTAAATTCAAAAAAGAGGAGTAATTTATGCATTGAGCCGAATCAAAGAAACACAGAATGGCAAATTGAAATGGAGGCTAACTGCCCGTTGTACAGGATTCCTTAATTATCGCTCCTTGGTTGCCTAAGGTTGCTTTTCTTAAAGTCAGGGATTTCTTCAAATGGTGTACTTAAGTGTTAAAAAATTGTGTTTTACCTCATGTTTGCAGGTCTTATAAAAAACACTACATATTTTTCGGCTTGAAAAGTAGTCTTACTCCTGGTTTTCATAATTTAATTAATTGATCTGTCAATAATAAATTAACATATTGTATAGCAGGGTAGCTGAGTGAATATAATGCTTGCCTTATAATCAGTAAGTTGCCGGTTTGATCCTGAGAAGTCAAAATCTTTTCTAAGGTTTGAAACTATGTACAGGCGGAATCGTATCACGTCGTAGCAGACCCCAAACACAACCGGAACAGTCTAGGGACAACCACAAGTGAAGTTTCCGATGTTGTGGCATGTCGTCGACAGACTCTTAGTATGCAGATCTAATGTGAATCTGATTCTAAGGTGTGCAAGCGGATCGATTTTCAGCGGCCCATCCCTTTTGAAATTCTGACTGCAAAATTGTCAGTTTTAAGGTTGGACTAGTACACATTTGAGTGAGTACCCTGATTGCAGTCTTACTTGCTTTTGTGTCTAATATATCTTTACAGTTTTAAGAATAGCTTGCTTTGTGGTTTGTATTTGTAACATTTTTCTCGACAAAAGCAATAATTTGAACCAGTTTGAGTATTTTTCTCTTCAACAGGACTTGCCAGAGCAGAAACCTTCGTCTTGACCAAAGACACATTAAGACGGATATTCACATGAGTAAAAATGCTAAGAATTTAACAAGGAAGATTTTTGACTGATAAACATCTTAAAAATACACCCTATAGGAGTTTTCTTCTTTCTTTTTTGACAAATAACTATGTACGGTAAATGAATATTGCAAATTTATCTTAATAACCTGATAATTCCATTGTTACAAAGAGAAAATTAAAAGAAAAGAAAGAGAAATTATCAGATGGAGGACACAACTTGGCGAGTTTTAATTTTAAATCAGGATAGAACCAGAAACACTCTGATTTCCAGGCAAGCATAATTTCCTCTCAGCTACCCTCAGAGATGAATAAAATCAAACTAAGGGTAAAAAATGACAACATTTCTCATTTCAATTAAAGCATTTCACTTTTCAGGGTCTGTAAAAATACAAAGTGATATTAAATGAGTTTGAAGACTTAAAATCTCAACACGTAAATAAATACTTTATTATGTCTAGTTATATATCATCTTTCTTTACAACATGTGAAAGTAAATTTTTCCCTTCTTTTCATAATCACCCATAACTGATCATAAACTTGAGACAAAAAACATAAAAGAAATATTGTTTGTTTTTTAGGTAGTATTACAAAATTGCTAATTTAGCAATAGTGGTATTGCATACAAAATAAAAAGTTACATCCCGAAAATAGGATGGGGTCCCAATAATATCCTATATGTGAGGTAAAAAAATATTTTCTCTATTCTATTCGTCAACAACCTCACAAATAAATTAATTGAGGTTAATTGAGACCAGTTAAACATTTTGGAAAACAAAGCTACAATGTTCAATAACTGATTCTTTCTAAAATTCTTCTGTTTGAAAAGCTTCTGCTTGTGGTTCTGTATTCGTTCATAACTTGATCGTAAGGAGGACGGAATATTTTTTTCTTGTAATACTTCAGCATTTCAACACTATTTTTGATGTCGTCCATAGCTCGGTGAGTCTGATTCGAGTAACCGATTTTAGCTATACACATTCCCTCAGAATACCATCTCCTAGAAAATAAAACAATTGCATGGCTTTAAGTTAAATTGTTGAGTATTAGAAGCGATTTTATCAGCGATAAATCTACTGTTGTTTTCTTAATCGAGGATAAGAGTTCCATGTATACGTATACAAAGATTGATAGGAAATATTTGACAAGATCTGTCCAAAATCTGGTGAAGGGTAGCTGACAAATAATAAACTAATTGATTGATTGGTTGATTGTGTTTAGAAACCAAAACTTACTACCAAATATCTTATTTATCTTGAAAACATACCCTATTGGAAATTTTGTTTTTGAATCATGTACAGAAAATATATTTAATTTTTCCTGGCATCAAGCATTTTTAGCTGTGTTTTTAAAAGTCATTTTATGAATATGAAGAGTGTCAGAGCATTAACTTTTGAATAGTCTTTTGGGATAGTAGACTTTTCAACAAGTGACTTTGGATACTGCAGGTAGACTTCTTATCCTCGTCAAAATCTGAAGCATCCCTGTTTTGATTTGCTTTACATTCAGTTACATTTGTAGGTGTGGTCGACTAAATGTTTATTTCTTATTTCAATACGGTGTGTGTATACTCTCTGGTCATTGTACAAGAACTATCAACAATAGTTCACATATTAGCTTGTTCTGTTTGGCCACAATGATTAAACAACGAGCTGTAATTAAAATAACACAATAATTAAATAACAGAAAAACTGAGAATATATTAAAACCCAAATATGACTCGCATTTCCTATTGAAGTGTTGATCTACGACTATTGATAGCTAAATTATCTGTATTGTTGTCACTGTTAAGTAAAAATAACCTCACACTTACATTGTAGTATCAAGTCCCGTGGCTCGTTAATTGGATAGTCTGTTTTAGAACAAGGTAGTTTTTTTCGTAAACTTGATAACTTAATGTTTATTTTACATCAGGGTGATAGCACTCATACCTTGGTAAACACATTTTACAAACTTATAATCGTTTAAGTTCAGGTGTCCAGCAAGCCTTTAAAAAACAAAAAGGGCTAGGTTCAAAAGTTTAAGGTGCCAAGTTGTATGTGCTAATCTCTTATGATAACGACGACATCAGGCTCCACAATTACAACCTTGAGTTTTTACTTGGCACGAAAACCCCGATGGAATGCTGTTAGGAATAGACATGTTCATGTTCACGTTTGGCAAATTCCCGATCCCATTTGAAGTTCTGAGACTTTTTCCAGTTCTTATACATTTTCAAATTCTTATACAGGTTCAGTGTATATTTGAAAAAATCTTTATATAGTCCTTAGTATGACATATTCAATTGGGTAATACCTTTGACTATTAATACAACAACTAGACATTCCATCCCCATGTTAAAGTTGTAGCCAGGTTTTTAATCAAATTTGTCTTAGTTGATGTGAGCTACCTACAGATTGCACTGATCTAAATTACTGATTTCTGCCGATTACACAATGGATTTACCAAGTCAAACTGATAAAATGACTTATTATGAGTTTAAAAAAAAAAAAGAGGTTGGCGGCCTCTTTTAACCTTGCATTTGCCCGTCCACATAGACTATGCGCTCGTGCGTGGATCGTTTACAGCAAAGCAAGGAGTGAGCCGGTACAGTACAAAGGTGAACTGTACTGATAAATTTTAGTGGCAGTGACCAGGATCCGAACCGACGACATCGCTGCCTTGGGCTTAAAGTCCGCCACGCTACCGACTGAGCCAACAACTCACTATAGCAAACTTAAACAACTAGCTATAGCAACTGTTGTGACCCAGCAACTATGCCAGTAACAAAAAATAAGGTACAAAATAGAGTTTTAGACACTAGCGCAATCTGTGACTGGCTCACACAACTACGTTCTTTTTTCGTAAAAATTTGGCGACAGCTGATCCATATAGATGGGATGTCTTCTTCTGTATCCAATAGTCAATGGTAATACTTGACCAGTTTTCTACCTGCATATCTCCTTGACAGAACTGACGTCAATGATGCGGTAATGCATGTGTTGTTCAAACTCCGGCATGTACTTCATTAAGAATATGCGATCCATGTAGACAGTGTTACCTCCCAACGGACATTTCTCTGTAATTAGATAGATGAAACAGCATTAACAAATACCTTATACAAGTCCAACTTTCCAAACTCCAATCATCCAAAACACAGTAATAAGAATCGTTCAAGAAGACAGAAGCAAATTTCAGCAAACCCAAAACCTCTAATGTGGTTGTGTACACATAAAATCATAATCATCCTCCAAAATCGCTGCAAAAGCGTAAATTTAATCTTGTAATCGCAAAATCTTTACAGACATTACAGGTAATAGTAAAAGCTAGGTTTGATTCCGACTATTTTCTGTAAAATGTCCCAAATTTCGGTAAAAATCCAACTATCCAAATTTGTGATCATCCGATTATCAACCAGGACGTGATTGAGCCATGCGAACGAGCTCATCTTGAAAATGAACGAGCATTGACATAAAACCACATTAGGACAGGACGACGTCTGTCGGGCCAGCTAGTTATTACTAAAATTGGTTTACAATGTCAGAAAAGTCAACTTGTGTTACTAAATTTTGTAGCCTACTCTTCAACTACAGTAGACTCCCTCTTATCCGGACACCTTTTAACCGGACATCGGCTTAACCCGACTATACTCACCGGAAATGACATCTCTTTAACCGGTTAATTTTTATCAGCACATCGGTTTAACCGGATTAGATCAGCAGGAAGTGGACGGTACTGAAACGACTGTTCTTGTGGGAAAGATTTCAGACCAGTGATCACTTGTCCAAATAGGCCTACGTAATAATCATTATTGGCTTATACAGTAAGCATTTAAATGGTCCGTTTTAACGAGTTTTTTGAGGACATCGGTTTAACCGGAAAACCGTTATCCAGACTGGCCTCAGTCCCGAGGAGTCCGGATAAGAGGGAGTCTACTGTATCTATATAATTAATACTCGACAACGAAATTTGTCGGTTGAACTCCTCCGCCATTTCTTAACCGATTTTATCCATTGACATCTCATTGCAATGAATGTGTTGCGTAGATTTGCAAACTGACCTTACATTTTTGAAAAAGTCCCTTGGGCTCTGCCCCAGTGCTTTTAAAGTTCCCATGTTATCCTTATGAAGAACATATTTGTTAACATTATGATCAGCTGGATATTTAATTGCTGCTAATATTTAAGCTGCAATTCAAAGAAATGCGCATACAAAAATGTAATCTTTAAAATTCAAATCATTGAAAGAACCCATTTGCAAATTATGGATACATAAAAAGTCATAGAACGCCGCCGACTAGAAGAAACAGAGATAGTATTTTTTTAAAGAATTTATTATCTATAATTTATTACTGCTGATGACAAGGGTGGTACCATGCAAAGGTTTATCAACAACGAAGATAAACATGGACAACCTTATGCGGCTATAATTGAGGAAATGTTTGTAGAAAACATTAAAAAGCAATACCAGGTTATGGAATTTGATAAAATATTTACAGGAAACGTTGATTACTGTTATGTACATCGCGAGTATCTCCATGAGTTACACACCGGTAATCTTTGAGTTGACTCTTTAAAAACTAATTATAAATAATGTAAATATGACTGTTATTCGTTTTGAAATAACTTCTGTAATACTTTGCAACTGCTCGAATTTGAGCAACATGTACACTAGTTATCAATAAAAACAGGATGTAATTTAGTTTTTAGTTACTTGACTTTTAATGAAGCTGGAAATTTTATTCAGCCCATATCGAAGAACATAAAAGTATACATGCAAAATATCTAATGAAAAAAAACCATAACTATGAGCCACTTAAGCAATGAAAGAACTTGATAAGGTTAAATAAAAAAATTGTATGTATGTTGGTTATTAATGAAATTTTTTGCCGAGACAAATAATTGTTATAAATAGCAACTATATATTTAAAATGTATTAGGGAATGTAATACATACTGAACGGTGTCCATTCCCGGACAAAGTTGAGAAGCTTTAACTCTGCTTCTCGCAGAGGAATTCCATTTGTCTGGCACTTGCTTGTCAACCCTGACTGAACAATTCATAATTATTCATCTGATTATAAAACATACAAACTACATATGTACAACTAGTACCGTACATACCACGTCATAGTACATACAAACTATCAGCTGTTTCGGAAAAGGTCCTAAAAGAACAGTTGAATGAACAAATCACGGAATACGCTACAATCAATTCTTTTTTCTGCCTTAGTTTTTGTCACTTAGATTAGAAGTGCCATTAAAGGATGCTATTAAAAAAAGGTCACCCTATAAGTTAAATAAGTTTGAATTTCTTAAAAATAAAAAGTCAATGTATTTGACAGTATTCAGCAAGTTACATCAGTTTTCTCGATTAAACTACATCCATTTTTATCAAAACTGGAGTCAACTTTGGGGATGGAATAGCTTCATAAATAATCAAAGGTAGGCCTAGAACACACTGACCTCTCCGTGCTGTTTCGTAGACCACTCGTTCATGGACGACATCACCTCAGGAGGATGGCTGATGCAGAGGTCAGGGCCCTCGGCTAAGATGTTCAAATTTCCGTCCGTCACCAGACACGCTACTTCCAGCACATGGTCTTTATTTGGATCCAGTCCTGTCATCTGGCAAAACATGTGAATTGTTTATAAAAAATGTATTCATTTCAAAAAGTGTTCATAAGGTTATTGGGAGTCACAAGCTGTCGTCTAACAAAATAAACCACGGGTAAATAAAATATGTTTTGTAAGATTTGTATTAGTGTTTTTTTGTATCAAACTTCTATTCAAACTGAAGAAAAATAAACACAAACATGTTCAAACAAAGTGTTACGAAGGAACACATAACTTAATGGAAGAATGGAGACAAAAACTTTGTTTACTATAACTTAATAGAAAGAATTAATGCAAAGTAGAGATACAGTAGAATCATCCAAATCAATTGGGAACGTTTCTCTTTTGAATAATACAAAATTTGGATACTGTAGTTGCATTTTTACTAATATTATGAGTATTTTACAGAAATTAAGCCAAGTCATGCCAATATAGTAGATGTCTGCGAAGATTTTGCGATTGAATAATTTGAGCTTTAGCCGCAATTGGAAAGAATGATTATCCGTGACCGCAGGAGGCGAAGATGATGATCACGTCCACTTGTTCGCGGAAAACATTAAGGTTTGGTTGTGGGAGACTTTGTGAAAGAAAAACGATGATGATGTTTCCGTTATGGCGGGAGACGATGATGAAGTCTACTTGATTGCGAGAGGGGTGTTGGATTTTTCAACGATCATGGCTTCTGACTTCTTTAATAACGATTCTTATTAGGCCTACTGTGATTTTCTTTTTTTAATTATTTCAGTAAGCCAAAGCGATTTGAATAATCGGCAATTGGGATAGTTGGGAGTTCTGATAATTGGAGTTCTACTGTAGGCTACGTAATTTTATTTGATATAAATGTCAGGGATATTAAAAAAAAATCTTAAGAGAGTGGTCCAAACCTTTTCAAAGTTTAAGGATTGCTGTACGGGATATCAGGATAGTGTGAAGCAATATTTAATATTACTGTGCATAATTCAATTGTAGGAAAAGGGATATTTAACATTACCTCCATATCCACCCAAACAATATTCTCTGCGCCTGTGCTGGGCGGAGGTTTGGGGACTGTGTACGAGCTCGAGTACTGGGGAAGTTCATTGTTTGTATGGTTGGTTGTATGCATGTTGTTCATCGTCCCTACTACTGCGCTGATCCCAGTCACTGCAACCAATCATCAAACTCACATGAAACTTTTAATTTCACACTGTATAACAGAAAAGAAGCTACTAAAGTATCTCTTCTGTTTATTCTGGATGTTACATAACTTATCATAAAGGCCAATTAACAAAGTAAACTATGTAATCTGACTATATGATAACAGTAATGTGACGTAATATCTGAAATTGTTAGATATAATAATTTACAAACTTAGAATAATGAGTATTTTATCAGTAACCAAACGAAAAGAGTGTTAGTGAACTTTACAGTCTTTAGAAAAAACGAAACTTGCATGTTAAAATAATACATAGGATATTTTTTCACATTAACTTTTTTTTATTTAATGTGTGATGTTTTAAAAACTTAGCTACGCAGACATTTTAAAAATTATCTGCGACTAAGCATTTTGTCAGAGGACAACTATCGCAGATTTTGTTTGTCTGCTAGAACTTAATGTTTTCTTCCTCATGCAACTTTAACTCTTTAATTTTCTATATGACTTTTCCAACAATGGAAAAAAAATTGGCAGACTCACACTGGACACTGGACAAAGAAGCAAAAATCCTGATTTGAGTTTCTACTCAAAGAATCTGCCTAAATAAGCTTTGCCATACACAGATGGACTCAATAGGTATTAGCTTCACACCCAGAGCCTGACTTGGGCCCAGTGCAAGCAAACAATCAGAGCGGGGCCCCTTACTATAAAAAAATTAGTATCCCAACAATATTAGCCAAAAAAAATACCAAAATGTAATACTAATAATCCACCTTTTTATGTTTTCAGTATTGATGTAAATTATAATTAATTTGTATATTTATACTAAACGGGTCTGAGGTGCGGGGCCGCACCTTTTTTATTTTGACAAAAGGTCAACACGAGAGAATAAAGGTTTTGCATGTGCCTAAGGCCGGTTCTGACACGTACCAAACCAGAACAAGATGGAAGTTTGACCGTCTTTTACGGTGTTATCTTCTGGCTGGAGAGGAAATGCTTTAGACCGTTCCGCCATTGAACAAACCTAGTGTTCTAGCACACTACTCTGGTCAACCTAAAGCCCAAGTAAAACTCAAGTCCTAGGCTACAACATATGTCAGGTAACTTAGAGCTTTCACCCGTTTTTGATAAGTAAAACAATACTTAAGTTACATAGACAGTTGTAAGTGTTTGGTTACCCATGCTACTCTTGAAGGACAAATAATGTTCAAACGTTAAGGCTACTTTTAACATAGCCTAGCCACTCGCTAAGATCAAATTCATTCAGTTTTATAGAATCTGAATGTGCTAACCTCTACGGTATTGATTTTACAAAGATCCACAATATTTTGGCAAAAAAGAACTAATGCACTCGTAAAACTAACAGAAAAATGGGCCTAGTTTAATCTTTAACAAGACAATAAGTTTAAGTTAGCTCTTTGATGGTACCAAATTGCTTAGGTATTGATGGATTCCTATCCTGCATCAACTGGCTTAAAAATCGTATTTTAGTAGGCCTACACTTTTACTTTACCCTGATCATAGTCATTAACAAAGCTAGGGTGTCTGGCTGTATTCTACACTCATTTTACGTTAAGATATGAAATTTAGTTTTTTTCTGTCAATGCCTAAGTTGGTCAACTTAACTTAGGCCTAATGATGAAGTCAAAATAGGCCAATCGTAAGAATACAAAAATGTTCCTTTTTAACTTTGTTTAGAGTTTATAAGTTGGTCTATTTTTTTAATATATAGGTACTTAAGACTAAAAGCTTTTGTCTGACAGGAACGGATATTATTCAGCGTGCACTAAGTTGGAAGAAAGATTATTTAGGCTAGTAGGCCTAATCAATGGCCTAACTTTAAAAAAGAATCATGAAGGCAACCTGTACCGAATGATTAAATTCCTAGCTCCCACAGCATAACTTATTTTGGAGTTGAGTGACACAAATCTTATTTATGTTAGATTAAGTTAATTGAAGTAAATAATTAAACTTATGCTAGGTTATAACTTAGTGAGCTTTAATAAAAATGTTTAAGTTTACATTTCCAGATCACCTGTAAAAAATTTTATATGCCACAATCGCCTGGTAGTCTTCACATTAGCCAGAGCTTCTCGACCTGTTTTAAAGTGCTTCAATCCTCTGGCAAGAAACATTTTGGTCGGACGTTTCTGTGAGCAATGTACTTAGTGTGTAATGCTGTCAGCCTACTGAATCAATTTGACAATCAATTTTAAACAAATATTGAAACACTATAAATCAACTCATAAGTCTTTATTGCCATTCAATACAACAAGTACAATAGGCTCGTCCTTTAAATAAATAAAACATGCAAAATCAAATCTATCAACAAACAATTCAAATAAATAAGCTCAAGTCAAAAAACAAAACAAGAAAACATGCACAAACCATGCAGGTGTAGGTAGGCTACCTGAAAATGGCTAAAACGGTTACCACCAGATTGCTTCCAATTAATACTCCATTTAATATCAGGCCAATAAGTTATTATTTACATCAGACTAATATAAAATTAGAAACTTTGATATTGTTTAAATACAATATGGAACTAGGCCTCTAGGCCTAGTTAAATTAACTTAGTTAGGCTACAACACACACACAATAACAAAAATCTATAACTGCAAAACTCAAAAGGAATAAGTTTTATAATTTATAATTACCCAATAGCGAAGTAGATAAATTCAAAAGTTAAGCAATTTATCCTAATTCTAGTAAATAATCAGCTTGTTATTAAATACTCATTAAGGTTAGGTTACATTCAGGTTTGTTATGAAGGGAAGGGAAGGAGGAAGGAGTGTCTCCGTTGTTTTGTTCCGTTCCGTTTCGTCCACTGAGCTAAAATTATAACTGGAGGTAGCACTGCCATGGCAGAAGTCTGTCAAGCAAGAGCGTGTCGCTGATTTTGTTAGGTTGGTATAGCAGTGAGTTTTTTTTAACCAATGACATGGCTTCTATAACTAGGTCTGTATAGCAGTGAGTTTTTTCATCCAATAACATGGCTTCTTTATAACTCACACCTCACGCAAACATGGCGGCTGGCGACACGCATCTTTGACATTCAGTGCTACCTCCAGTTAGAATTATAGCTCAGTGGTTTCGTCGTGTCGCCTGGTCTTCGACTTCTTCTTCTTCGGTATTTACTCAGGGGAGGTACGGAAGAGGCTACGATGACAGCTGTGGGCTTCTTATTAGCTGAGGGAACGCTATTACCGTAACAATACGGTTTGTGGACAACGGCTTCGGTGGGTCTAGTGGCTAGAATGCCGGGCTGGCGTGCTAAAGGTCCCGGGTTCGAATCTAGCTGGTTGCATTAACTTTTTGTCTCAGATTTTTTCATTATCAGCAAGTTTGGTTGGTTTGGTTCGGTTATGAAAGTTTAATTTTATTATTAAGTCATTATAAAATTTTAATTGAGCAATTTCTAGTTTTATTTAATAAACATAATTATTTTTTCTATTACTAATCTTTTTTCTATTATTTAATTATCAGCAAGTTTGGTTAGTTCGGTTAGGTTATGATAGTTTAATTTTATAATTAAAAAATTATAAAATTGAATTTGAGGCATTTATAATTTTATTTTATGAACAGAACTATTTTTGCGAATAGTAAACCTTCATTGACAAAGTGCTCTCTACTACAGCGCTGTTCGCGGAGGAATTTTGAACTAAATGCCTCATTCGTACCTCCCCTAAGTCAGACCCTTCTTCTTCTTACGTAAAAACTAAAAACAAAAACAACTAGGTAACAGACAGGCCACAGAGATACCACACACGATACACTTAACACAAACAGTCCCAATGAGTAAATAATGTGATCAGGATCAGATGGCAAACTAACGCCATTTTTATTAGCTACTCTTATTCGTAATATCAGATATATTAATATATTTACCATAAACAGCAATTAATTGCTAATAAAAATAAAGATCTAGTTTTTTGTTGGTTGTATAAAATAGGTACCGGTATTGCCATTTTCACATTTTTGTACTAATATCTAGTCCTCCTGATACGGTCAAAATATTTTACTCGTATTAGGCATGGTGGAAGGAAAAAACATATGTGTGTTTTGATTTGGTTGTTATTGTTTTTATTATTGTAAAAACAATAACAACCAAATAAAAACAAATACATATACTAATTTGACAGTTACAATCAGTGATGATCTTTTGTTTGCAATCCGAGTGACGTCAGAATATGTGGGAATAGCACACCTACGTTTTTTCCTTCCACCATGCCTAATACGAGTAAAATATTTTGACCGTATCGCGAGAGTGATCCATCCAGGACTCGTGTCTGTGATAAAAAGCTCTTTCTGGACCGAAGCCATCGCTCGGTCTATATTCTTTAGTTTAATTTAAGCATAAGCATAGGTTTAGCGAAACACAATAACTTAATTTACCTAAAGCTTCTATATATATAACATCCAATGTATGTTTGTATGTTTGTTTGTTTGTTTGTCCTTTATGGACTCCGAAACCACAAGAGAGATTGTAATGAAACTTTCAGTCATTATTAAGCATTATTCAAGGATGGTTTGTGTGAAGTCTGGTGCAGATCCGTCAAAAGGGCTCCACCCCAGTGGCTCTGGAGTTTCCCATGTTAACCTTATGAGTACTCATATTTAAATTGAATTATCTTAACAGCTGGTTCAACTAAACAATATGATTCTGTTATGTTCAATAGCATAAAATTAAAAAGTTAAATAGGTTTACCAACAGGGTGCAGCAATATATTTTCACTTAATTTATGACAACACCTAATTTGCAACCAAAAGGTGAGTGAGCGTAGCGAACGAACTTCAACCAGGACGTGATTGAGCCATGCAAACGAGCTCATCTTGAAAATTAATAAAAATACCTATCGTGATATTAAGTCCAAGAAGCCGAAACCTCCGGACAACAGGGCTGCTATATAGGACCAGGTCCTCTTCAGCCAGTGAAAAAGATTTATGTGATGTGTTCACTTGACAATTTCCATGAACTTATTATTTATAAATGGTAGTTTGTTTCTGTACCTTGATGATTTGATGTTATAGTACAGGGCAGTTATGCAAAAAAATACCCTAACCTAGAACAAATTCATTCAAGGGTAAACTCTTCTGGAATCTGTTTGGGACTTTCCACTTCAGTGAAATCCGCCATCTTGGAAAATGGCGAATCCTGTCAAACTTGCAAATCAAACAAATCAAACTTGCAAGGTTTTACGGACAATGTTATAACTACAAATTATTTGACTTATAATAGTCGTGTGGACTAAAGCTTTAAATTTCAAACAATAAACATATCTTTGATTATTTTTTGAGATTTTGTTATCTACATAGTAATGTTAGCTGTATTATTTTTAAGTAAAAAAAAAACAATGTAATTATGTATATTATGGGAAGTAAAATATCATTTCATTTCATATAACTTATGTGATATTATACCGACAATCACGCCAATGATAATAGTTTGAATGCACCAGTATGCGCGAATACCAAATGCATAGTATCGTATCAGTAATATGTACGTAATAGATTATCACAAACTTGTATATAAACACACACTATTGGATATTATTAATGGTGACCCGTATAGAATTACCCTACTATGCTGTGTAATCAAGTAGCTTCACAAAAGTCACTGCCAGTATCAAAGGATACTGAGTATGATCTGGTATGATCATAGTAAACAACCACTGCTTTAAATCGCAACAACTCTGTCAGCGAGTGGATGCATAGTAAGGTTAAATGTTTATAAGCCAATCATCGGTCTCAGGTACGAGACACGACTCTCAGCTTTGTAAAGAATAACAATGTTGTTTTAGTTATTTACTATCGTACTGGAGAATAGTCAAGTAGCTACTCAAAAATCTCTGCGAGTATCAACGGATACAGCATTTTCATAGTAAACAACCCCTTGCTTTAAATCGCAACAATTTACATTAACTTATCACTTATAAATCGTAGTTTCTTTCAGTTTAAGCAACATTTGTTTTTTTTTCTTGATAATTTGTTATTATTGTTTAATAAACACACATCTATAGATTTAGGCTCAGTGACACCTAGTGGTGACTAGACGAACTGTTGCGCGCTTTAGTTACGGGGTTACATGTTAGTAGCGCTAGCGTAGTCGTCAAACACAGCACGTGCCGATCTTCACGCGACAACGGCTTGTAGACGACGGAACAGTATCAGTAGTACTGTAATAAATTTTATAGATGTGATTGAATTTAACATGAATGAAAACGTGGTATATTTTCTTTACAATATAACAATTCTACATTTGAATCGCTGAGCTCTAAAAGTTTAAAAAATGAAATACAGGTACAGTAGTTGTTAGTAAAACACTATTATTCCATCGTTTTTGCATCTTATGAAAAAAAGACCAGAATACCTTGGCTCCTAGTATTTTTACTATAAATTTTGAACCAAAAAATAACTAGGATTGCTTTCATAGCAGTGAAAACCAGCTGAGCGGAGCAATCATGTTTCAATAAATAACCAAAAAAGTTTTATAGATATAATCGAAAATACAAATATTCCCAAACTCTGCACTGCTAGCGTTTATTACATACTTCCTACGTCGTGGACCATAAAATAAACATGACCGATGATTGGCTTATAATAAATAACTTTATAACTAGACTACTATGAGTTGAGCTGTTTTCGATGTGTTTACAATCTGCGAAACATCATATTTTCAACAGTGTAAGCCACACAAAACCATATTCCATTTAGGCTAGGCCTATTAATGTTCATTAACAGAACAATATACAGAATTACTAAAGGTATTTTATTGAAGCAAAATGAACAGACAGGTAACAAAATTTAAAAGGCCAAGTTAAAATGAAAGGGCTGACAATGGAAAGTGGGCTTAAGTTAAAATAAAGTGGAAGATTAATTTGAAATTTAGGGTAATTAGGTTCAAATGAACATTAGTCTAATTTAAATGGGCTCATCTCAGGGTAGGGTGTCGTACTTACTTGAATGCAAAGAATGAATGAATTAAATAATGTCCAAATAGTCCAAGTGTTTCACTTACAACATTCAAACGATTAAAATAAAATTTTGAGGTTGTCCAAAAGGTAAGCCCAAAATGTGCACTAATTTACTAAGTTTAGTGAGTTAAAATAAAAATGTATACTTAATTTTGGAAATAATGTTGAAACTGAGAACTCTTGAACTGATTAAAAGAACTGGTTTATATATTAAGCTGTTTGTTGATATTAGAGTAGAATCAGAGATGCAATGAAACATATACTGTATTTGCTATTACATTTTTTAGTCCTTGATGCTTTGATTATCATATTAGACTAGCTGTACCCGCGGGCTTCGCCCCGTTTAACTTCATAAGTATTCGCATGGCTCATTCACGTCCTGGTTGAAGTTCGTTCGCTACGCTCACTCACCTTTAGGTTGGAGCTCGTTCGCTAAGCTCACTTGCCTTCAGGTTAGCTCGTTCGCTACGCTAACTCGCCTCCAGGTTGAAGTTCGTTCGTTACGCTCACTCACCTTTAGGTTGGAGCTCGTTCGCTGCGCTCACTTGCCTTCAGGTTAGCTCGTTCGCTACGCTAACTCGCCTCCAGGTTGAAGTTCGTTCGTTACGCTCACTCACCTTTAGGTTGGAGCTAGTTCGCTGCGCTCACTTGCCTTCAGGTTAGCTCGTTCGCTACACTAACTCGCCTCCAGGTTGAACTTCGTTCGCTACGCTCACTCACCTTTTGGTTGGAAATTAGCTGTTGTCATAAATTAAAAAAAAAAAATAGTGCTGCACCCTGTTGGTAATCCTTGTAACTTTTATGCTATTGAACATCATAGAACAGAACCAACTTGTTTAATTGAAACAGCTGTTAAGATTCATTAATTCCTTTTAAATATGAAAAATCATAAGATTAACATGGGGAACTACAGAGCCACTGGGGCGGAGCCCGAAAGGGTTTTTGAGATAAGAATATGCTGTAATGTTAATCGGGAATGTGAGCTATCATCATGCCAAATTTCAGCCCAATCCGTCCAGTAGTTTATGCGTGATTGAGCAACAAACATACACACAAACTCACAAACTTTCAGATTTATAATATTAGTAAGATTGGTCTTAATATCTATATATCTAATTCCGTAAGCCCAAAATTTTACAATGAAATTGTGAGCGAACGGGAGGCTGTAGAAAGCTGGGAGAGGTCTCATTTTAAAGGTCTCGGCATGAAATTTTGGGGAAAAATATTCATTTTTCTTAATTAAGCACCAAAAGGTTGTTACGGAATAAAATAATTCACATTTAAATAACATGGGAATCTAGGTCATGTCTGCTCTGTTTACTTTAAAACATGTGGTTTAACTTTATTTAAAGCATATGGTGATATGTAATATCATTAATAGTCGAAGGTAATATGTACTGTAATGTGTATACTATTATAAAGCTGAAATAGACTTTTCCCAATTTTAAGGGTCTGGATTAGTTAATGGAGTACGATTGGTTGTGTTAGGTGTGTCTGAAAAAAGTGTAAAGCTAGAAGTAATTGCTGGAGTAGGAAAATGGAACATATTTTCATGCCAAAATAAAACTAATATCTACAGATCATTAGTTTTATAAGATAAAGCTAGTTTTATAAGCTTCTTGTAACGGCATAATATGCCGTTTACAAGGATTCAATTCCTATTGCGATTAGCTTTCGCCATTCCTATAATTAAAGCGCAAGGCCATCCCTTCATAAAAGTTGGCATCTATTTGGAAAAAAACCCATGGACAAGTTTATGTTGCTTTTAGCTGGGTTAAGCGGCCAGATGATGATGTTAAAATAGTACTAGAACCAAATAAAGACCAAGGAATCCACCAAAATGAATACTATACAATAAACGTTATTTTCAGAGAGATTTTGTTATAGAATTAGCATTTTACAATTTGGAGGATGACATTATCTTTATGTGTTTTATCGAAGTAAATTTATCTACATTCAAAGAAATATATATATATTTATATTTAATTAATTGTCATGAAGATTATTATTGAAAATGTTCCTTGGTGTTATTATAATTAGAAGGTTCAAGTTCATATTGTAAACACACTGCATGGACAGTCCTTTGGAATTTTTATTTTAAACAGAGCAGACATAAAAATGCATTATGCAGGTATGTAATAACTATTATAATATACAAAAATGTTTAACGATAATTCAAGGTAGGGTAACCCATGAGACTAATAATTTGTACAAAATAATTACTAGAATATATACCTATAGGGGCTATTGCCCCTAAAAGCCACGTGATGTTTACGTATTACATATATTATTAAGTATATATTATTATACATTTTTTATATATCGTATGTAACATATATGTATTATTTATTATTAATATTAAGTAAATAATATAACCCATGAGACTAATAATTTGTACAAAATAATTACTAGAACAAGCCACGTAGAGGTATTGTTACTCAAAATTAAAACAACAGGCGCCAGATTTGGCACGATGAGCATCGGATGAACATTAAGTTATTCCCGTGTATAGATTACCACTTTGATTTGGTGAAATTGTGACGCAAGGCCAAATCTTCACAAAAGTTGGCATTTATTTGAAAACCCCACTACCCATGGTCAACTTTATGATGTTTTTAGATGGGTGGAGGCCAGATGATGTTAATAGTACTAGAACCAAATAAAGACCAAGGAATCGACTAAAATGGATACTATACAACAAATATTGTTTCAAAGAGATTTTCTTACAAAATTAGCATTTTACAATTTGGATGATGACATTATCTCGATGTGTTTTTCTAAGTGATTTTGTCTATATTTAAAGAAATATATATAGATTTAATTAATAGTCATGAAGATTGTTATTGGAAAATGTTCCTTAGTTGTATTATGAGTAGAAAGTTTGTATTATAAACACACCGCATGCACAGTCCTTTGGAATTTTTATTTCAAACAGAGCAGACATCAAAATGCATTATGCAGGTATGTAATAACCATTATATCATAATATACAAAAATGTTAAATAATAATTCAAGGTAGGGTAACCCATGAGACTAATAATTTGTACAAAATAATTACTAGAATATTGGGGCTAATGCCCCTACAAGCCACTAGTAGATATATAGTTTCTTTAATACTTCAAAAGACCATTGATAAGGCACAACAATATTTCTAAAGTTTATAGCACATACAGCTAACTTTAGTTTTGCTAATGATTTATTGTGAGTGGAACTGAAGATGGAAGGATTTGTGATTTAACATGAAGAAGAGTGAAATAATAAAAAAAAATGTTCATTAAAATTTAATAGTTAGTATTTTTGCAACTGCAAAATTGAAATTAAACATGTCAAAATAAAGAAGGTGTCCAGATTTTATCTTGCTTGCTCATCTTAAATTAAAAGGTTGCCATTTTGATTAGGTGTGCGATATTGACCTCTGGTTTGTGCCATTTAATTTCTCATGATAAACTCTTTAAAATGAGGCGTCACATGATAGGTGTTTACATTTGAAAATTTGGGGCTGCACCCAAAATACCCCATTTTGGGGGCTGGGGCAAAGTTGGAACTTTGATGAAAAAGTGCAATTTCTTTTGTTGTTAATATGTGCCGAGTTTGGTTTTCCTACTGCAACGCGTTAAAAAGTTAACTGGGGGGTTCCAGACTTTTGCCTAACCCTGTATATATATAAAAAAAAAACATAAAAAGCTAATACTTTGAAGCTAAAGCTTACTTAAAATATTAGATGAAACTCGATTGCAAATTAATTTTTCCTTTGATATTGATATTTTGAACACATTAGCCCTAAACAATATACTGTTATTTAGTTACTGAGAAACAGATCATAAAAAAAAACAACAGATCTTAAAAACTTCAACAAAATACTAACATAATTATCTTGATTTTAAAACTCATTTTACGATTACAAATAGTGTTATGCAGTAAAACAACAATTTTTAAGCCACAAAATAATGTAAATAGCCATTTATTAGTTAAATAACCAAACAGTAAAGCACAACATTTCATTAACCATAAAATCATAGAAACAAAATTTCGTCCACAATACCCATCAAGTGTCACCAGACATGAACTAGACACGAAAACTAGCTTCAAAGCTGGAATTTTACCCTCTGGACTAGGGTTTAGGCAACTGAAGATATGTACGGCCGGGATTTTTACCCCCTGAATTTTACCCTCTGGCCAGACATGGAAATTGGCGTGAATAATTATTATTAAAATAATAATAGTATTAGAGAAACATGTTTAGGCAGTTAATAGCGGTAAATAATTATAGTTAACTGATTGTACATAAACGTACAAAATATTATGTACAAAATGAATTGTTATCACCAAACTCTCTATCTGGATAGGGCGTAAGATTACCGGGGTAAAATTAGGGCCCGTACGCTCTAGGTTTTATAATTCAATTTGTTATGATTAAACTCACAACCCTGAAAAGATACGTTAATTCTACCTTTAATTTAGCCAACTCATGATGGGCAACTCAAAAGTTCGTGGTCGGAATTTTACCCCCTAGTTTGTGACGTCAATTTTGCTCAGGGGTTAAAATTCCACGGGGATAAAATTCCGCTACCCCACAATTACTGTCTTTTGATCCGCATACATCAGTAATTTATGGAAACAGGAATTGAGGTTAAAAACATTGGATAGACTTGGATATAGAGATCATTTTCATTGTCAATAGTTTTTTTTTCTTGTTTATTAATTGAAATCACCATTTTGACTCAGAACCAGAACTATTAACATGCAGAACAGCATAACATATACAGTAGCATGTATTCTGTCAAAAGAAATGGGTAGAATTAAACTGAACGGTAAACATATAATTTTATTTTAAATTAATAGAACTCGCCTTTTAGAGAATTTCCCATATTTGTAATAAGATATTACCATAAGTCTCATGGTAAGACCTATACCTGGGCCTGCTTTACTTCAAAATTTAATCACACAGTTTCATAATTATTATTTATTATATTATTATTTAGCGCTACTCATATTGTACTGAATAGTCTAGTGAATTTTCATCACTTACCTGAATTAAAAAAATATATACTTTTATTTGACAAAAGCGGTGTAAATAAATTTGTTTCTAAGATTGAAGAGAGTTGTTTAACTATTTCATACCGTAGACTTGAAGAACCAAACTGTTCCTTTCCACGTTGCAAAGCATGGGTATAGCGGTTAGTTGATAACTTGAGTAATAATAATGTAGAGTAAAAATAATGTAATTTTGATTAAATTTTCTGGTCGTGTAAACCTACGTTCATTCAAAAAAGATGAACCTACGTTCACTATTCCATGATTTGACAATGGGATAGTGGTTTTCTGTAGCCAATTAAGTTTACAAATTTTCAATTTCAATTCCATTTGCTGTCTCTTGTACTATGTGAGTTCCCTTCACAACTAAATCAGTTTTTAGGTTAAACAGCTGGAGATGAAAGCAGTGCGCTGTTTTCTGTGAAAAAGTCAAGTGGATAGTAGGGTTGGGAAAAATAACCAATTCATTTAGACACTGTTTTAAACTGTATTTAAAAATGTTATTTGATTATATTACAAATATATTAATATTTTTTCATGTTTGATTTTAAATATTCATTGTATACATCCAAATTGATGTAAGAACAAACAGTTAATGAAGACTATCTTAGCATACCCAACCCAGCGGAACTTAAATCTAGGGAAAAATTAGTTCTACTTTGTTAAATTTTAGTTTATTTCTAGTGGTTTTTGAGATTACAGAAACAGAGGTTCGATAAATCTATTGACTCTAAATTACTAGTTGATTTTTTTGAATCTTAAATTTGACTACCAATAATAAGTGAATGGGCTTTTTCTAACAATCAAATGGAGAAGTTGGTTTTTGTTTTAATGGTAAATACGTTAAAGAAGTGGAAAGAGAATTGCAGTATTTTTGGAAATTCAAACATAATTAATTCAAATATTACCTGAAAAAGATATCAATATTGTACAAGAGTAAGACCACAAATTAAACATACATTTTAAGAATTCTTTGTAATAATAATTTTTATAGGAATTGTCCTCTCAACCTTTAATCCAGAATTAAATAACATAATAATTGATTTGAAGATAACTATTTATTGTTATATAAAACTGATGGGCCCAACTTAAACAAACAATTTAAAATATGATTTTTCTTATGTTGTAATTGGAAACAGTGGAAAAACGTATTGCTAGACAAAACTATACTGTATATAAACCATTTCATAAAATTAAAGATATTTATTTTTCTCATAATGGTAACCCCATAAATTAAAACCTTTTCAGGAATGAAGGTGCTCACTTCCCAGTTCCACTCAGATGAGGCGAGTTACAAAATGAGAAACTGAGCCCTGGAATGGTTTCTAGAACCATAATAGTCTTGTTAATAATTCCATACTAACTAAATCATCTCACATTAAATTAATTATCTTCAATCACAAAGATATCGACCATGTAAAACAGGGTTATCACTAGTGCTCATGTCATGGCAAAACTCTTCAATAAAATTATGTCTCCCTCTTAATTTAGAAGCTCTCGATGTAAAGCTATAATTTATTTATATCTTAAATCATATGTACATATTACATTTAGCTAAAACGTATTGATACATCACTATTCTAGCTATGAACGTTTTAAAAACTTATAAATATGAAATTCATTACAAAACTATGGAGGGGAAATTTACACATAGACAAGCATGTTTGCGGCTTAGCCACAAGAATACCTTCCTAAAATGATTTTGGCACATAAGTTAGTTTTGCATTTGCCACGACTGTTAGTCCCGTGTTACTCTGTCAAGGCTGTGAAAGTGTTGATCGTTCGACACATTCAGTAACATAAACCATTATTGTATGAGTTGCAAGGTTATTTGTAGCTCGCTTCACTGTCTGCGTCTCCGAACCATCCCTGGCTCTGCTTGTAGCTGCTGCTTGTTTCTCGGACGCTGTAGGAGGCCATCGTAGCACCTGCCATCCGCTGACTCCGCGCAGACCGTGGCGAGTGTTCGGGACTGCTGAGGTCCCAGGGACGTCCCCGTACTCCCCATTGTTCCGTGAACTCAGAGGCAGATCTGGCTAGTGACGGTTGACTGACGGAACGAACTAAGCTGACTCCATCTTCGTCCTCAGATCCTCTGCCGTGCCTGATGAGATCGTCATCGTCGTAGTAGCTTCTAGGTCGGTAATACGAGCTAGCGTCACTCATGTTGTCTGGCATGTTTCTCTGAGCAAAATCCACAGTCATCTCACTCATAGATCGTACATCCATTCCATCTGATCGCATGCTGGATCTGGATGTCCGTCTGGATCTGAGGATCGGATCAACTCCTGGAGGTCCGTTAGGGTCAGCTGTTAAAGTTCTCACTGACGAGCCTCCGTCTGAATCGTACTCGTAGAGTGTCGGCAGTGAACTCCTCCTACTACGAGTGTCCCAGTCAGCCTTTCTTCGGTACTTGTTGTTACCTGGAGCCCCCTTTTGATCGTACTGAGGTTTCTCAGGAGGAGCAAGAACTCGAATAATCACATCCCACTTTTGGGGTTCAAAGAGTTGTTCGTACCTCTGATCTTTTCTAATTCTCTCGTAGTCTTCTCTAACCGTAGCCTCTGTTAGAAGAGTTCTCAAAGTGGATTCGGTAGTAATTATCTCTCTCCACTTCTTACGATCTTCGAGAGTTAATGTTTCCTCCACTCGGTAAGTTTCACGGCGCTCTTCCACTGGTTGAATTTCCGGAAGTGGTGGTTCTAGCACTCTGATCAGAACGTCCCAATTTCTCACGTTAGGGTCACGCACTGGTATTTCCAAAGTGCTTCTATAACTTTGCTGTATGTCCACTTCATTGCGATGATGTTGGATCCTGTGTCGCTCTGGCTGAGGAGTGGCATAGCTGGAGAGAGATGATGTTTCAGAGAAGCTCTCCCAATCCGTAGTTCCTTCGTCTCCAGACGGTTGGGCGTCAGGGTTTGGATAGTTTCTAATAGTCACGTCCCACTTGGGTGGCGGAGGTTTGGGATGATATTCTGTAACCTGTCTCCTATGGCGCTCGATATCTTCAATAGTCCGCTTCTCAGTGATGGTCCTAAGGAAAACATCATCAACCACATGAGATGTAATCTCTGGTCTCCTAGAAACGACCTGAGGTTCTATCAACTCCTCAGTATGAACTTCCATCTCACTCGTATACATCTGCGCTGGAGCTATCGGTGGCGGTGGAGGAGCTCGCTTTTGATGTGACCGCTCTACAATTTCACTCATAGACCTAGTCTCAGTCATTTCTGTATTGAGGCTAGTTAGGGAAGGCCTTCTTCTGACTATATCAACGGTATCTTCATGAGTATAAGTTTCTTCAACAATCTTCCCAGGTTTTCTGATCACCTTGGAGTAGATAGGTGGTGGAGTAGTTTTTGCTGGAGGAGGATGAAGTTCAGGCACGTAAGTGAATGTCTGTACATTTGGTTTTGGAATTGATCTAACCAATTCTTCTCTCTCCAGTATTGTAGTAAGGTTTCTTTCCTGCATCCTCAAGCTTGCTTCGGATTCAGAAGGAGGAGGTGTCGGACTTGGAGGAGGTGGAGGAGCGCGTTTTACTCTAACTTGCACATCAAATTTGGGTTCTGGAGGAGGTGGCCTCTTGATCATAGAAGCAGCTGTCATGATTTCTGTCTCACTATGAGCAACATATCCTTCTGAGTACATACTGGAAGCTTCTTGATGAATGAAAGCTTTGTTCTCGTAAGAACCATGAGAGCTGACTGAGCGATGAAGACTCCTGGTATCAATATCCTCGACCTCTGAATGTGCAGAGCTCGGAGATTCTGATGGGTAGTCACTAGGTAGAGTGTCTCCTCCACTAACCAAAGCTGCATCTGACCCAGACGTACTTCCTGGAGCAGGAATTGCATGTGCTCTTGGTATTTTCAAGCCTTCAAACATAGAAATATTGCTGAGGCTTGAACCAGTCAGTTTGGTGATCTCAGAACCAGTTCCAGTTGAGAAGGGATGTCTTCGGACAACTTGAACTCTTCTGCGTTTGAGAAGGTAGTAGGAACATCCAAGACCGAGGAGAACCAGGGAAAGGAACAAGATTCCACAGATGATCAGTAGGATTTGAAATCCCTTCAGTGGAGGAGCTACTGGCAAGAGTGGTGCACTGGGTTCCAATCTGTAAGCAAGATACTCGTAAGAATAATTATTTTCTAAAATCTCATCATATCAATAATCATAGATATAGGTATTCCATAAGTTAAACAGTTTCTTGAACCACTATTCAATAAGTTCATCCTTATAAGATGGATATACATTTTTCCTGTAGCTATTTATCAGCTGTTTTTCTTGTTCGGTGTATTTACCTAAATAATTATGGTTCTAAAGTAAATCTGTGCCTTCAATATCAATAAAAATTGCATCAGTACCGTCTCAGACTATTAATATTTACTCTGAGGTACCATAGGCTACTATTTCAAATCAAGTATCGACTAAAAAAACTGTTTTGTGGATCAATAAGGAACTTTTTCTTTACTCTTGTCTCAGCTCAAGCAATTTTGTACATGATGAAAAAATATGACAAAGACACCCCAGCATCCAATTTAGGAAACAATAATTATATTGTAATTTTTGGTTGAATAACATTAATTCTCAATTTAATTAAATTATCTGCCAAAGATAGCGTGTATTTCAGGACACATGATCAATGCTTTTACATGTGGAGGAAATAATGTATCTTGTGTGATTTAAAACTTTTATGACTGCACATTGCTAAAACCCTAAAACTAATGTAGTCCATATCAATGGGTTTCATGCCATGACAAGTACTGTAACACTTACATAGCCCCAGGTATTCCAGCTGGTGGGGGTGCGACGGGGGGAGGGTAGCGGCAGACGATGGTGATCACTTCATCACCATCCATCTCCAATGCAGGATGAAAACGGACCACAATGTTGTTGGTGAAAACTCGTTGTGGATCCTGCACAGAGAAATTAAGTGTTTAGATACATGTATAAAATGTAGCCTCTATAATTTACTGTTGATAGATCTCCCTTCACAAAATTTAAGAAGGTTTCCTATGGGTTCCTCCACTACTTTTTTAGCTTAATCAGCTGATCAGCTGTCAGCCGTTTGTTAAGGTGAGGTGGAGGGAATGGAATCGCTTCTCCTCAAATCGCCAAATCCTCAAAATTTTGTGAACAGAGTATAGAAGTTCTATTTCCACATTAAAGTTGTAGCAGTTTCAGAATGAAAATGGACATAGTTGGGTTGAACCACCGAGTCCGTTGATATTAATTACTTATTTCTGTCTAATAACATTACTGTAGAAGGATTGTCTTTCCTTCACACTCATTGAGTCTTAGTAAAGTATGGAGAGGTCCCAAGGTTTAAAGTTCTTCATAGAATTCTTCTGTTTAAACTTATTTAGTGTTTTTTTTTCTTCTTTTGCAATTTACAATGTCAAATACTTGCCTGTTTGGTGCCGCATCCTTTCAACGGAAGATCTAGCCTTGCTGTCAGGTTCCCCCGTCCAGAGACCTGGCAGGCACTCGTTCGATCAAAGTCGGCGTACGCGATCCCGTAGAATGGCTCATCAAACTTCAGCTCTATCTGTGAACAGGAGGAAAATCGTCGTTAACACATAGTTAGTTTTGACTCCTGACACAATCAAACTGTAAATTTTGGGTAGCTTGTTCAAATACTTATTCACCACAGGCAAAAAGAAAGTTTTTGTAACTGTAAAATAATCCAATTATTATCTATTTAATTATTATCTATGAGGAAAACAGTGAATGACATGCGTTATTTTCAACAGAAATTCAAGACTCGCTTAGAGACCAATATGGTTTAAAAGATTAAAAGATATTGTCAAAGATGTTTTTAAGCTACATTGAATAAATGGTTTGATTCAATTAAAGGTCTCAAAGAATTCAATTTGAAGATGAGGTGGTCTGAAGTTAGTCTCTTCAGTTTTTGAACATTGAGCCTTGAGAATTGATATTTTTCATTAATGCAAACAAGTGAAGAAGAGTTTCACGAAAAGCTGTTGGCATGAAATTTTTTCTCCAATAGTCTTTGTCTTTAACTAAAAATCAGAGATTTGAAAAATTACCACACTTTTTCCAGCTGATAAAAATCAGGTGACCATCTTGAAAAACATATACACATGTCAATATTCTTTCAGCATACCTTCCTTCCTCTGTTGCAAAGCTGAAAATTGGTTCTTACGTATCTGGATGCTTATCTTAGCTCTAGGCTCAACTCAGTATATACCTGCATGTAGCCAGCCGCACAGTTCAAAGCTGCCTTGGTGCGGTTGAGGAAGATGACGGGTGCGAGATCGTCCAGCTTGGTGACTTTGCCGTCCAGCACTGTAGAGTCTGGAAGTCCCTCGTTGGGGAACTCTATGCTGTTGGCCTGGTCGGCGTAGTTGGACTGCGTCACTGCCCGTCCTGCCATCAAGGCGAGGAGGGTCGTCAGTCGCCACATCTGCAACAAGGTCTACGTTTAGTTTATGGGAAGAGACATTTTGATTGATTTGTAAGCTTTCACTGACAGTGTGAAATCCGCAGTGGTTTTTAGCGTCAACCGTGTCGTCAGTTGGAGATTGCCAAACATTTTGTCAAAATCAGAAGTTCAATGAAGATACCTGAATGAGTAGAGGAGTGAGAAACTCATGAGGATACTTTACAGAGGTTAGTTTAAACTTATGATTTTGATCATTTTACGTCCATTTGTTTTGTAAATAGATTGAACAAGAAAATAGCTTAATTTGCCAATTAGGTGTTACCAACATCAATGAGACTGGCTTTCAATGCAATTTGTTTATTAGGGTATAAAACGATTCCATGAAATTTTGAAATCATATTGAACATACTAAGATAAATTTGAGTACCGTACTTTCCTGCTTAGACTATTACCCAAATTGTAATGTTAGTACACTCCATTCAAATTTTTGTAATTTGCTGACGTTGGAATAACAATTAGTTTAACTACAAACAAATAATAAACAAGTTGTGCAAATAATTAAACCATTTGCTCCGTAATTAAATCAATTTTGATAAGGAAATAAGCAGGTAGGTGTACCTCTAGTCAATGGTAGAACATTGGACGCGAATTTAATTCGCCATTATCGAGATATCCCCAGACCTTCCCGTGCCCGACTTCCAATTGAGGCTACAAAGTCTCGGATAACCACAGTAATAATCCGAAATTATTTAGAGAAAACCATTACACAAGGCCCACGTTTCTGCTATTACACTTTGTTCTATTTTATCTGCGCCGGTTGTGGATCGTTTTGATTTTTCTTATAATAGTGGTTTTTTGTTTTCGCGGCGAGCAAACCGATAATTACAGGTATCGGCGTAACGCACGAGTGGTCGTCCTCGAACTGCATCGAATACCGAACATCGGATACCGAACATCGTATACCGTATTTCGATTACAAAATTTCGAATGTTAGATATCGATACGTCGATTGTTAAATGTCGATAATCAAATTCGATAATGATTGTGTAACTTATTAATCACAAAGCGTGACGTTTGTTACGTAGCAGCAACAATTTCTGTGCTTGGAATTAACCTTTTTAATTGGTCAAATCCGTCTAGATTTGACATGCTTTGGTGCGTAAACGTTTTGCAAAATGGGTTTAAGCGATTTAGTAAGGCCCAGATTTTATGGATTATGCCCTCAAAATGCATACTTTTTAGACTATTTGAAATAGCGAATTAGATTATGAAGTTTACCTAAAAACGTTAGTACGTAATAAGGTAGTAGGCAAAAGTATACGTTTTTATTTTCGTAAAATGTGTGCATTACATCTTTTTTTCTTCAGCTGACTTGTTGAACAATGTCCAGTAAATGATGCTCTTGATCGTAAGCACCAATTATTGCTTTCTCTCTAGACAGGCCAGATCGAATGCAAGTTAAACCAAAGCAATACTAAATGTTGCCTTGATTAAACCGAGAAACTATAGGGCATAAAAAAACCGATTTTGTGATACACGTACGTAGGCTACAGAGATAAAAGCTATTTTCCTGCAATTGAACTTGTAACTATCATTGTCCTTAGCAAAAGCTAGCCTAGCCTACTGTATGTGACAATGAGTCATGAATCTTTGCAAACTTCAATTAGTCATGAAGTTTACATTACTCAAGACTCTCGCTATCTTCAAACCCGAGCTCATGCCGTTGGCCAATTTAATCTTCTTCCACGAGATGCCTCCAGTTGCGTCGTCGTGACAGAGAGGTGTCGGTGTTGGGAGATGACACCGTGGAATGTGGCCATTGTGAGCCCACGTCTTCGCGCACCCAACTATTTTAATCGTCATGTCAACGCTGTTCTTGCTACCTTTTCTCGTTGCGTTTTTAAGACGCTGAAAATAACAAGAAGGTGCCAGTTTTGTAGGCTGCCAATGGTAGTTGCGTGATGAAGTCATGGTTAGACTTCTTAACAGTCTTTGATTCATGCTCTGGCTCTGTTGATAAGTAACTTAAAGTACGTAAACTTAATTTTGTGAAATATAATTTATGGCAAAGGTATTAACCCAAAGAGAGAAGGATGAGTAGAATGGAGTGAGACGCCTTACATAGCTCTGTTATGCAGCTGAGCCCAGTTTTAATTAATTTTAAACTGCTTGGCTTTTACAGGATCGAACCGGCAACCTTTAGTTTGTTTAGCGAGCATTTACCCATTTTGCGACCCAATATGTATTCACTTGATTGCACAAATATGCAAAAAAGAATTTCATGAATTCTATCCAAGAGGGATACTAGATTCCCTCCGGTTGCTATTTTATATCAATAGTATCTTGCAATACTGCGGGTATGTGGGGAATTTAGGCAAAATTAAATTGAAATCTAAAACTTGCAAAGGAAAAAATAAATTTAGTTTGGACCATGGGAATTGGGAATTTGGACTTGGGTTTTCCCGGTAGGCAGGTCCCCACCGATATCACTAGGAACAATGCAAAGTGTTACACCTAAACCTTTCGTCACGTTTCTTCGGTAACACTTGTCGAGTGTTGAGCTGATTGTTGATCAGCTGATAGAAAACATTGTGGGAGAAGAAGGAAAAGTGAGAGTGAGGAAGTGAGTTGCAAAACAGCTGATTGAGACTCCCTCAGTCCAGCAGAGGATGTGACGATGGCCATTAGTCAAGAGTGGGTAGTTTGACTGGTGAGCGAAAGTGGCAAAGGAAGTCAAACTGGACACTCGGAAGTTGACGTAATTCTGAATAGGAACAATAGATTCAAACAACACTTTTAGAACATTTCGTAAATTGGAATTTCACGGAGGTTTGCTGCATGGTAGACCGATGCTTTAAGCCGGTAAGATTATTTGTTTGCTATTAACTTTGTACTTTAAAAACCTGTAAAGGCTCTTGTTTTATTTGTTGAGTATAATGTTAATAAACTTATTCACCTAAGACTTTAATGTTGTATAGCTGTGTTAAGCAACCTTAAGTCTAGTAAAGTAATTTGTTTACCACGGAAGTATTTCCAGGGAAATCCAGAACACTTACAATTAATGCTCAAGGTCATAAGTAAAGCACAAGTAGTGTAGCCTAACTAGAAGGATTAATTACTTTACTTTGTTTGAACATTTAGCAAGGATTCTCTCACGTTAACTCTTCAAACACTGTTCATCAACGAAGTTTCTAAAGTGATTTGACTGAATCCGATAAAATAATCACAATAAGTGCCTACTTATAAATTATGGATTAAATTAAACCTACTCGCAAATGTATACTAAACATTGTCATTAGAAGATCCATACAAGACAGTAATCAATGTTGACACGCATGGCACAGAAATATTACTGACAAAATCACAGCTGAAAACCTTCCTGATTCACAGTTTTCATCCATTCACCATCTCCAGGACAGCGTTGGGCAACCACTGAAGAAGTGGGTCCGCCAGCTTCTCACGCAGCAGCCGGGTTAAAAGGTAATCTTCGGGGAAATATGACTCTCATTAGTCAACCCGGTCCTGATGTGTGGATATAACGAAGTGAACTGCACGATCCGCCCGATGCGATCTCAGATTGCTGCGCTACACGCATGTCAGTTCTGCGCATGCGTAGTGAACAGACACGGCGCGCGTCTGCGCAGATCTCCACACTGATCACACTGCGCTCGCTCGTTATAACCACGCATTAATCACTTTCCAAACCAGTTATTAGTCAGGGTTTGAGTAATTATGTAAATAGGAGGCGTTGGGCTGAAAATTTCGGTAGGAAGGAAGTGGGCAGTTTAAGAGCTGCGTTGAAATAAAATCGGTATGTTCAAACCATTGTAACTACTAGCCCAATTTTTTTTTGTAAATTTTCTACGCAATTCGGATTTTTTACCTGTTGCAAGGGAGTGGTCCAAACCCTTTCCAGATGTTTATAACATCCGGTGAACGAGTTTTTGCAGTAAAAATCAGAATATATTTTACTTTTGGTTCGTGATTTATACTAGAAATTTTATACTAAAGCAATATCAATTAAAATGTACCACTTTCCCACTAAAAAAAACATGTTTAAGGCTTTTGGTCTCATAAATTAAAAACAAAAAGCAAGGCATAAGATAAGTTACTAAACAAAAACACGTCGATTCAATTCTACAGTATATATGAAGCCTTTCAGAAATCAAGGTTTTGAAAACCTTGCATTTAGGTAGTTTGAAGGAGGGAAAGGAAGATATAACCTATTGTCACCCGAATTCAATGAAAATGAAATGGTAACAGATTCTGTGATAGGTGATACTAAAACTGCCTCATTGTCAAGTGATTTTCAAGGTCAAATGTGGTAGCAACTCTTGAAAGATATTGCCAAAATAATTCAAACCAATACTTAAAAATCGTAATAATATTCAATTTCCGTTATCACCCGACTAAAGATAATATGAGACAGAAAACCACAAAAACGAAATAAAGGCACTACGTTTACAATTTAGGGAGCTGATTATGGTATTGAATCAACTCACTGTTCAGCTCAGTTCAAGGAGCTGAGAAAGTGAAATGCCAAGGTGATCAGGTGCTGAGTTGTATTGGTTTGTATAACTGTAATGACGTAAGGTAGATCCATCTGGGCCACCACCTTGAGGTGGATCACTTTCATCCTTGCAATAAAACCGCGATCGTTAAAGATGATCGCATCGAATTGACACGGCTTCTACTCCTAGATTCGTAGCATCAGCGTCCACTAAGCGAGGAAGAGACAGCTTTGGCCTGTGTGATGATCTATGTTTTTCTTCATATTGTACCATTATTTAACAAACTAAGTTAGAAAACGAAAATGCTTTTCATATAAAGATAACCTCTCAAATCAATTACAGACTAGTTTTTGATTTTGCTAATTCAAACAAGCAGCTGTTTAGTAAGTGATTCGATCTTTCGTCTATTAAGATTGTGTTATAAATTTAGGCGGTTTGAGGGCAAGTGGCCCCACTATTTTCATTTTGCTTTATGTAGGTTCGTTTTGACTAACCTCACCAGTTGAGCTA